GCGTTTCCGTGCGTAAACCACTCAAATTTCTGTATTAAAACATTTGAGTTCATTCACCTTGAATGCTATCAAATTGCATCTTATACTTAGCAAAAGAAAAGAAACAGCAAATATTTTTTTTTTCAAAAACAAAACAAAACAAATTAATTTTACGTGAAAAAGCTTCWAAAGAAAGAGTCTCGTTGGAAGTTGAGATTTAATAATGAACATATTATTTACATCTATCAAATACCACTATGGTATACTAGAACACWTAAAATCACTATAATCAACCTATTGATTGAACGTTCTAGAATAACAGATCCTTTGATCAAACATTCTAGAAGACTATATCAACTTCTTTGAAGCAAAGAGTTTAGGTCAGTTTAAGGAAATTAATTTTCTGGAAGTGATGACGTAACTGTAACGAAATTGTCATCAAAAAGCAATTTTTTAGTAATTTGAAAGCAAAAAAGGAAATCTGGAATAATGTTTGATGTGATATTTTTATCGTCGTTTTCGATAAAAAACATCTTGCATAGCAATGTCAAACGTTTATACATCAGTAATTTTACGGGTAAGATCTATGGCATCCGATTTAGTGCAATAAATATTGCAAATTACGTCAAAGATTAAAATGACGTCACGTTCTTAATGACGTCATCGATCAAAATGACGTCAATATAGGAAAATGAAAAAAAGCTGGTTTAACCAGCTGCAGAAATAGAATAACTTTGTCGAAACAAATCATGATTTTTATGTTTACAGGCGCTGTGGAAATTTTGGTTCTAAAAACAAAACCATTTGCGCTAAATAAAGTACAATGAAGTATGTATCCAGTCTGTCAGCAGTACGTGGTCAATTTGGCTTCACGTGAATGATTGACAACTTCCAGTCATACTTACCTTACATACAATTACAGCAACTATTTACAGCAAGTTCAAAAAGGTTGGGCGAGAGAGTGAAATGCATTGTGGAATAGAACCATATCATAATATGGACCAATATTCAAAAAAAGGTGTGCATTCAATCCTAGTAAAGTT